GCTAGAGGGGTCTGAAAAGTGGCTAAATATAGCGACTAAAGCGCTAAGTTGGCAACACTGCTCTTTGCATGGTTTGTTTTCAAATGGTTTGCTGCTGTCTGTTTGGACCTTTCTGAACATGTGCAGCAGATGGACTGATCCAATATGGTGGACACTGAAGGGGGGGCTGAGACACACTGATATTATAAGCATTCTGATGCCATTTCAATGAAAGGATTTTTATCAAACAGATACTTAATGTGCACAAATAAGTAATAGTTGTAATAAGCGTACAAGTATGGTTATTATCAACTAAAAAACCTTTCTTAGTTGAGCTTTAGCGTGCCAGAGGCTCACCTGCGTCTCCTCCACCCATCCCAGCAGCTCGTAGATGAATCTCAGGCTTCCTTCATCCTCTGAGGAGGACATGGCCACCAGCTGGGAGCGCGCCATCGGCCGCCGCAGGAGAGCGGCTCCGACCGCCCCCATGCCTCCCAGCAGGGTCTGTCCCAGAGAGAGGCCTCCGTCTGTGGCTCTCTGCCAGGGTGGCTCCGTGCCGGCGGGGCCCAGGGCCTGAGAGAAGTGGCCCTTCCTGTAGACGCTGGAGCACTGCAGCCGGAGGGAGACCAGCTCCTCCTGAAGGCAGGAAGCTCTGCGGATGATACACAGAAATCATTCAGACCATCATTTCCAGGGAAACAACCTTTCAGCCACAAACAGGTTATATTAAGAGCCTCCTGCAGGGTGAAGGGCAGACTTTTATTTATTGCCATATTTTTAATGTTTAGAGTAGAAACAGAAGCTCTGATGTTTCAGGCAGCTGTAGCCCCGCCCCCTCATGCTGCAGATTTCCTGCTGCTAAGGACAGTCATGAAAAAATAAAACTGTGTTTATAGGAGGTAGGAATAGTTTACTGTAGGATGAGTCAACACCTTCAAATTAAATCTGGTTTACAGCAGATAAAACAGGAAAAAGCAGAACTAAAATCTACAAAAAGTTTTAAAAAGTTTCAGGTTGTTTCATCTTCTCAGTCAAAAACTGATCTCAATGAGAACAAAGATAATCAGAAAGTTCCTTAAACTCTGATCACGGCACCAACCGGGCCGGTTCCACTGGAGGGAGGGGCTCCTCACCTGAACGCCAGCTGCTCCACCTGGTAATATTTCTCTTCTCGCAGGATTTTCAGATCCTGCTCGATTTGCCGGATCAGAGCCTCGCAGTCCTGCAGGTAGCGAACCATTTCTGTCTCACACTGCACCGCCTCGCCGCTGTCGGCTCGAGACATGTCCTGGAAAGCGGAGGACACGGAAACCGTGAGGGGAATCCCAACAGAAACAAAACGCTGAAAACTGCTCCTGCTCCTGACCATGAGGTCACATGGTCCCGTCTGTTTTTAGTTCTGTCCATAACTGATCAGATCAGGCCTCTGATCTGATCTAAATATTTCTTTTTTAGCAAAAACTAGATAAAAATCCAGTGATTCTATCAAACGTTCTGCCATTAAATCTGATTTTGACTTAGTTGGAGAATTGATGCTTTAAACAGGGTTTAAGTCAAATTATTATTTTTTAAATTAATGCCTTAATTGGCATTAAAATTCATTAAATCTGATTATGGCGGCATTTAAAATGCTAAAACAAGCTAAAAATGCTAAAATGAGAGTCATGGGTACTTCTTGATGGCCTTAGAATTATTTCTAAGAGCATTAAAAATAATTAAATTGGAGATTATAATTTCTGTATAAACCCTGTTTGAAACTCATCCTTCACCTTTTTTATAAATTAACTAACAGAGGTCCTAAAAATGAAATCAAATAAAGACATCCTGGAGCTAATCAAGAAAAACAAATAGCTTTTTCAACAATAATGCGTGAAACAGAAAAACATAAACAATATATTGGGAATAGCATCGTTATTGGCTGATGTTTTAAATGTGTTTTTTTACATATTGGTAACTATAGAAGAGGATTAGGGCCACTGAAAAAAAAAAAGTTAACTGATTTTTAAATTTT